AGGTGCAAGGGGGGTGCTGGTGTGGGGATGCCCAGAATACAGGAGGCCCCAGGGTCTCTCATGCCAGACCCCAAATCCCCTCTGCCCTGCTGGCCTGGAGGGGTGGTCCCTGCTGGAGCACCCAGATCCCTGTGAGGGGGACGTTTGCTGGGGCAGCACAAGGCCCTGCGTCCTGAGCACACACGGCCCTCCTGAGCCCTCGCAGCTCCAGGCCTGGAGCACGGCCGAGTCTGAGGCTCTTTAGACCCCTGAGTGGCCTCTGGGCCTCGACTTCATGGTGAATGTGGTGACTGACCATCGTCAGGCCTGCCAGCTCTAGGTTGTTCAGGGGTCTTTTCCATCTGGGGCAGGGACTCTGGTCCATATCTAGTCCCCACTCAGAATGACCTTCTAGAGAGTGCTGGCACCTTCCAGGGGTTCCCTGGGTCAATGTTGGCATTTGCTTTTCTCAAGTTCCCCAGGAGAGCCAGGAGTATCTGGCCCTTTTCTGGGACCCATGTCTGCCGGCCCGAGTCCCCGAGGGTCTTCAGGCCTGGGGAGCGAGTCTTTCCTGGGATTCTGCTTCCTCCTCACGTGATGTCCCTACCTAGGGCCATGCTGTGTCTTTACTCTTTACTCTCAGTGGTGGCCCTGATCCTGGGACCCCGGCCCACATCCCCTGGGTGGCAGTTGGGAGGTGGGGTATAGTGGTATGGAGCTGGGGGCAGGCCTCGTAGTGGGGGGAAGCCACAGGTCCAGGACCTGGTGCCCTTCCCAGCACCGTCAGGGCGTAAGTTTTAAGGATACATTTCCATCAGATTTTAAAAAATCTGTTTACAAACATGTGTCTGCACTTGGTAGCAATTTGAGGAGACAAAGCACAAGGGAGGCCGCTCTCCTTCCCTCTGCTCTCCTCATGCCCTGTGCCTCCTGGACCCCCCCAGAGATCTCAGGGCCCGACATGGTCTTAGGTGTCCCTCCCGGATTCCCTGCGCAAAGTCCCTTACCCCCTGCCTGCTGTCCCACCTCCTCTACGGGGCATCGGGAGGTCCTCCTTGCTTCTCTGGAGTCTCCTTTTCTGTTATTTTCAGTGAGCTGCCGTCTGACCCCGGGGGAGAGATTTCTGGTCAGGAGCCAGGTGTGTTTTGCTTGGGGATGGACACGGTGGCCCCGGCAGCCTGTGTTGAGTGGAGCTTTTGGACGGGGGCTGTGTCACTTTGGGAGTAGCAGTAACTACTATAACAGTATTCTCACGGTGACACACGCCCCCACAAAATTTTCCTGTCTGACCCTGTGCCCTCTCCACCACCGCTGGCACCAGCCAGCTCTGGGAGGAGACACTGCGTTTCCAGTGCTTTCTTTTCTGAAACTCGGGGATAGTGGGGAATGACCTCGTGGAGCCTGTGTGGGTCCAGAGGTGGCTCTGCACAGGGCCTCCTGCGTTCACTGTCTCGTGAGTCCCCAGGGGGCACAGCCCTGGTGTAGGAGGGGTCGTGGTGGTGGATGAGGAACACCCACTCTCTTGTGCAGACGGCCCTAGACGCACCCGGGCGCCTGTGTCAGCCGGTTTTCCTGGCTCAGGGATTCTGGCTGTTTCTGTTCTTCTCTCTTGGTCCCTCTCAGAAACCGTCCCTGGCATGGCCAGCGGTGGTCTGCCTTGTCCACTCCCGACTCATCTCCCATGGAATTTCCTGATGGAGCTGATATTCCAACCCGCGAGTTTCCTGTCTACTCGGGCCTGGGCATGGATGCCTGCATCCTGAGAGGCCAGCTCCCAGCGGTGGGCTGGGGAGACTCCCCACCTCTTCCCTCTGTGCCTGTCTTGGGGGGCTCCTACCCACTTGGCACAAGTGTTTCCCTGGCCTGGTTATCGCTAAGGTCAACCGTCTAGGACACTTTGATTCCCCGGCTCTGAGTGAGCGTGCACTTCCTCCCCAGAGACTCTCGTGGTCACCCCATACCCCCAGGGCATCTCCTGCTGAGGGCACCTCCTTTGTTCAGATGGCCTCAGCCTTCAGCCTAGGAGTTAGAGCCGGGGCTGTCCATTGTCCACAGCGCTGCCCTCCCGAGTGGCGAGGGGTTCCCCAGTGCGGCTGCTGTATGGTCTGCTGGCCAAACAGCTCCATCTGCCTCTTCAGACACGATTCCAGAGGTCCCCATTTATCCTGTGTATACGAGGGGTGAGCAGGCAGGCTGAGGCCACCTTCCCAGGCCCAAAAGGCGGATGCCCAGGTGAGTGTGGTGCTCAGCCTGCAGCCTTGGACCCAGCTGTGGGGACAGTGCTTGGCCTGTGAGGGGCTCAGGGATGGCCTCTGACACCTAGGATCCTAATAGCCTGGGCTCTGGGTTCACTGGGCCATTGCTGTCCGGGTCAGGCATTTACTCAGTGACCGTCAGGGGCCTTCCACATGAGTTAAATGGTAGAAACAGGTTCTTTCAGTCACTACTGTCCTGCAAGGACAGGGTGAGCTGCATCCGGGTTTGCACAGTGGACACGAGTGTGTCAGAGGGAGAGTGAGGGCAAGGAGGGGACAGTATGGCTCCCGTGGCGGATCAGGACGACTGGTCCGTGTAGACCCTATGAGGACTCTGTGTCCGCTAGATGGAATGTGGGGTCGGCTCCCGTCCTCACAGATACTGGAGGCCCAGGCCCTTCCTTCCCGGTGATTCCATTTCCGGGGAGCGAGTCTCAGTCATCAATGGAGACGCTCCTGGGTTGTGGGGACACCTGCACATCAAAGGGCTGAGGCAGGATCTCAGGAAGTGCTCCGAGGACAGGGCTGGCTGTCAGGTGTTGTCTGGAACCAATGGCAAATTTTCCCTCAGCATCAGGCTTTCTCAGGCTGGCCTTTTACGGGGGCTGGGTTCTTCCTGGGGATGCAGGCTTGGGCTACTAGCAGCCGTGCTGGGTGTTGGTCGTCTCTTGGTGCAGGGATCTGGGTGGAGTCCCCAGTCCCTGGGCTCTGGGATCTCAGTGTACAGACACGGGCACAGCACAGCTATCAAAAGAGGCCTTGGGTTCCAGCCTTCAGTGGTCCAGGGGTCTGGGAGGGGGCGTGGCAGGAGGGTCGACTGTAGGGGGGCCCTTGGAGGGATTTGCTGAGTGTTCCCAGGGCCGAGGGCAGGACGGGCTGACCCTCAAGCCCTTTGGGGAAAACTTGTCACCAGGACGGGTGACAACTCACGTGTGCGTGTGCTGTGTGGTTGTAGTGTGAGGGACACCTCCAACCCCCGGGAACTGTGCCCAGCCTGTGTTATCTGGCGAGCTCCTGTGCTTCTGAGCACAGGCCAGCTCCAGCGCCCGCTCCTATCAGCCTCCCTGAGGGACTCTGGGGTCCTGTGAGGAGCTGACCTCTGACGCTTTTCCTGTGCAAACTCTGTCCTTCCTGATTCCTTTGTTTGTGGTGTTGACAGCCAGAGTGGTATCTGCGAGCTTGCCAGGCTCTGGGCGTGCAACTGTGGCGTCAGTGTGGTCGTCTGAGAGCCCTTGAAAGCCCCAGCCCCGGGTGAGTGCTGTGACTGGACACAAACCCATGGGCTGAGTCATTGGGGGTGGCCTTGGAGGGTGAGGATCTGGGTTTGGAGCCTTGGGAGCTGCCCCAGCCTCGAGGCCCCGTGGATCACAGCAGGGTTTTGCTATCGGGTCTCTCACTGCGGTAGTCACCATAGTCATCCTCGTAACACAGTAGGAAGGACCTTGAGAAAAAGCCCTGTGTGTGGAAGGACGGCCCCCTCCCTGTCCGAGGCCCTTGGCTCTGCACTGAAGGGGTGGGCAGAAGCAAGCCTCCATGAGAGCAGGCCAAAGGGACATGTGAGGCACCCCAGGTCCTTTAAGGTTCCATGTAGAGCTGGGGGCGGACTGCTCCAGAGGGTGGTCCCGTCCACTGTTGGTGGTCTCTCACAGGATCTGGGTCTGTGTCTGGATCTGGCGGAGGACTGGCTGGAGGGAGGGTGTCCATTCCTGGAAGCGTCTTGTGTCCGAGCGTGCTTGAGGGTCCTTGGTGGGCCCCCCAAGGAGGCTGAGAGGGCTTGTGGGCTGTAGTGTGGACAGTCCAGGCAGACCAGTCCCGGGGAAATGAGCACGTGTGTCCACCCCTGCTGCTGGAAGGAATATTTCCAAAGTCAAATTCAATCAGCTGATGGTGAAGGGGAGCCCCGCCCACTTTCCTGGTACCCAGACGGCAGGGCCCCAGCCTGTTGGGGCAGGGCATGGGGAATGGGTGGTGTGCTGTGGGGTGTGGTTGGGTATGGGGTGGTGTGAGTGTGTTGGGTTCATGTGTTGTGGGTGGTGTGGGGCACACAGTGGGGTTCGTTCCAGGGTGGTATGGCCATGTGGCCCCTGGGCTGAGGGCAGGTATAGTACCAGCTCACGGGGCCAGACCCACCTTCCTGTCGTCCCTGCCCAGTCAGGGGAAGTCACAGGGTCCTGGCAGAGTGGGCTCTCTATGCCTTGCAGTCGTTTTCCCCGTGTGTCCCAAAGAGGGGACTTCCCAAGCTGTGGTCTAATACCAGCAGACAGTGGCCTGGGGCCCTCCTGGTCTGAGAGGTGTTCTTGGAGGGCAGTTGGGCTGAGAATTTGGCGGCTTCAGCCCGTTGGTTTCATGGTCCAATGGACTTGGACAGGAGCCTGGTGGTGGTGACTGCCACCATGTCGGGGAAGCGATGGGGCTGTGGGCCATCCTTGTCCTGTGGCCCCTGTGGGTTTCGGTTCTGGCTGCGCTGCTGTGGGAGTCATCACACCCCTGGCATGTGGCCCCGTTCGCAATCCTGGGGACAGTGTCACTGCCTTGGGAAGGCAGGGCCAAGGCTCTGGCTGGAGAGACGGGGTTTTTGATGTGCGCTGTGAGGCTGTGGGCATAATAACATCAGTAACTATCACGGTAATACCACAGTGACACAGACCCACCCCCTAACCCCTGCGAGGGGCGGGTTGATGAGAACCTGGATGTAGAAGGTGACCTGTGGATGAAGACAGAGCCCCAGGGAGACTGTGGGGCGGTGTCAGCATGCAGGTGTCCCACTGGGAGCATGGGAGAACCCTCCTGGCAAGTAGAGAGCAACCAGGCCCATCCCTGTCCTGAGGCTCCATGGCCACATTGGGCTGGAGTCAGGACCCATTTCAGAGTCAACACCGCTGTGATGGCCTCTGGGTTCATAAATTGTCCCCAGACTGTGGCTGGGTCACCGTGGGGCCAGCAGGTGCCTCCCACCCAGGAGGCCAGAGGTGGCAGCAGGCAGGAGCCATTATTCTTGCTGCTGCTGACCTGGGGCTCTGCTCCCAAGTTGTGCTCCAGGTCCTGTGAGGGCCACTGAAGGAACGGCACCAGGCTTTGCCCCACCTGGACACGGGTCTGTGGCTCTGCCTCCTGCTAAGCACAGGCTCACCGGCCACCTCCCCTTACCATCCCCCTGTGGCTCTGTCCTGTCTAAATCCTCCCTGGAATTGAGTGCCATGGTGACAGGAGACCTCAGTGATTCCTCGTGAGGCCTGCTCATCCCTGGATGCAGCTTCAGGCCTATCCAGCTCCAGCAGGGCCTGAAGAAGGTGCAGGGGAGGAGGTGCAGGTGTAGGGAAGGCCCAGGTGTAGGGAGGCCCCAGTGTCACTCCTGCCCGACCCCACATCCCCTCTGCTTCGCCTGCCTGGGGGTCCCTACTGGAGCACCCAGAGCCCCGTGAGGGGGACGTTTGCTGTGGCAGCACAGGGCCCTGCCTCCAGAGCATACCCAGCCCTTCTGAGCCCTCCCAGCTCCAGGCCTGGAGGACGACCGAGTCTGAGCCTCTTTAGGCCCCTGAGTGGCCTCTGGGCCTCGACTCCATGGTGAAGGTGGGTGACTGACTGTCGTCAGGCCCTCCAGCTCTGCTTTGCTCAGGGGCATTTTCCTTCTGGATCAGAGATGCTGGTCCATAGCTAGTCCCCCCTCAAAACCACGTGGAGCTTCCAGAGTGTGTTGGTTCCTGTCAGGGATGCCCAGACCAGGATTCACATTTATTTTTCTCAGGCTTCCCCTGAGATCCTGGAGCTGGAGGGCTGGCCCTTTGTTGGGACCCCGGCCCTGCTGGCTCCGGTCCTCGAGGGTCTTCAGGCTTGGGGAGTGAGTCTTCCATGGAGGTCTGTCTCCCCTGTACCTCTTGTCCCTGCTCACGGACGTGCTGTCTTTGCTCTTTAGTCTTAGCATGTGGTGCATCCCCTGGAACCCTGGCCCACGTTCCCTGGGTGGCGGTGCCAGGTGGGAGGTGGCGGGCAGTGCTGTGGAGCCATGGGGAGCCAGCCTTGCAATGGTCGGCAGCCCTCGTTCCAGGGCCTGGTGCCCTTGCCAACATCTACAGGCAGCAAGTTTTTAAAGTAGATTTATGTTGGATTTTTAAAAACTCATTGCCAGTGTATTGTCTGCACTTGGTGACAGTTAGAGGAGACAAAGCACAGGGGAGACCGCTCTCCTCACGCCCCGGGGCCCCTGGCACAGAAATCTCAGGCCCCCGAATGGTCTTAGGTGTCCCTCCCAGATTCCCTGTGCAAAGTCCCTTACCCCCTGCCTGCTGTCCCACCTCCTCTATGGGGCCGTGGTAGGTCCCCCTTTGCTTCTCTGGAGTCTCCTTTTCTGTTATAATCAGTGAGCTGCCCTCTGACCCTGGGGAGAGATTTCTGGTCAGGAGCCAGGTGTGGATGTAGAGGCTGACCTGCAGGTGGAAGCAGAGCCCCAGGGAGGCTGTGGGTGGGCTCAGCATGCAGGTGTCCTGCTGGGAGCACTGGGAGACCCCTCCTGGCAGTGTGATGGCAACCATGCCCAGCCCTGTCCTGAGGCTCCACGGCCATGTCCGGCTGGCATCAGTTCCCATTTTGGAGCCCAACCCCACTCTGACGGCCTCTGAGTTGATAAATTGTCCCCAGACTGTGAATGGGTCACCTTGGTGCCAGCAGGAGCCTCCCACCCAGGAGGCAGGCTCTGAGTGGGCTCTGCTGGGACAGCCTGTTTCCAGGGTTTCTGCTCTGAAACTTGGGGTAAATGGGGGACGAACGCCCACGAGACTCCACGGGTCCAGGGGTGGCTCTGCACAGGGCCTCCTGTGTTTCCTGGCTGGTAAATCCCAGGGGCACATCCCTGGTGTAGACGGGGCTTGGTGGTGAATGAGGAACACCCGGCTCTCCAGCGCAGGCAACCCTGGGTCTCCTGTGGCCTGTGTGGTGTCCACTTTGACTGGTTAGGGGGTTCTAGCTGTTTCTGTTCTGCTCTCTGGGCCCCTCTCAGAAACTGTCCTTGGCGTGGCCAGTGAGGGCCTGCCTACCTGCCCCTGATCTCATCTTTGTGGGATTTGCCGGTGGGTCTGGTGTTGTAACTTGTGAGGTTTCCAGCGGACTGGGCCTGGGAAAGTTTGACTGCATCATTAGAGGCCGGCTCCCAGTAGTGTGCACGTGGAGACTCCCCACCTCTTCCCTCTGCACCTGCCTCGGCGGGGCCCCCATCCACACGACACAGGAGTTTCCTTGGTCTGGGTGACTCTGAGATCCACCGTCTTGGACACTTTCATTCCACGGTTCCAGGTGAGCATGGACTTCCTCCTCGGAGACTCTCATGTTCCCCTGCTGTTCCCCAGGGCACCTCCTGCTGCGGGCACCTGGTGTGCTCAGATGGCCTCAGCCTTCTGCCTGGGAACTGGAACCTTGGCTGCCTGCTGTCCCCGGTGCTGACCTCCTGAGGGACAAGGGAATTACCTGAGTGGCCGCAGTGAGGTCTGCTGGCCAGGTCTGAAGGCAGGTTGTTATATGTAGGTGGCACGGTAGGTGGATGGTTAGTGCATGCTCTGGGAGGTGATGGAGCAGGGCTTGCATCTGGCTGACAGGGCGTGGACAGTGGGCAGAGGCTTGTGAAGTCCCGGGCAGGGGTTCACGGCGTGTTCAGGTTCAGAGTGTTTACGATGGAACTTTGGGTCTGCCCTGGTCCAGGAGTCCTGGGTCTGGACGGTGCCATACTGGACAGAGGAAACACTTTGTCCTGCTGTCTGTGAGCAATGGTATGACCTACTGTCGTTTCCTCCTTTTATGTGACCTATTTGGATCTGTTTGCAGGCTTTCGCCTTTACCCTTCCCTATATAGTAAAATGTACATTCAGTCCATTCGTCTGGGTTGGAAAGTTACTTTTGATGCCTCCGATCGAATCCACCAAACCTCTCAAAACACTTCTGTACACCCTCGTGCTTCTGGGAGGCCGGGAGTCCCAGGACATCCTCGCTGGGAGGCTTCTGACCCAGCACAGCCCCACTGTTCCCAGGGGGGTCATTCACGGCCATCCCGTGTCACTTCCCTGAGCCCACCTAGCAAGGCCCAATCACCCAATGCTCTTCAATTCCAGCTACTAAAAATGGGAGAAACCCTAGCCAGCCCTGATGGCCTAGTGGTTAAAGTTCCGCTTTGGCAGCCTGGGTTGGGTTCCCGATAGTAAAACCACACTGTCCGTCTGTCAGTAGCCATGCTGTGTTGGTGGCTCACATAGAAGAACTAGAGGTGTTACTGGATGCATACTTGGGTTCTTTACCCGCCACATAAGAGGTGCCAAATAAAACTGGAATGCCAGGCTTATGGCAAGGAAAGAGTTTTTATTTTGGGTGAGGTCAGCTGGGGGACGAGAGGTCTCAAATTTTTCTCGTCTCCCCAAAAGATGGGAGGCAAGAGGTTTTAAAGGTTGCGAGGAATGTAGCTGATTGCAGGGAGGAGAGGCTGTGGCCTTGCTGGTCGATGCTTTCCCACCAGCCGGCATTTGGCCTTGAGAGGCTGCTGACAGGGAGGAGGATGGCAAGATAAGGGAATCACAGATGGGTGTCCTTCAACTGTCACCATGGTGGAGGGTGGATTCTGGTGCCAGGAAGCCAAGTAGTTGAGGTCTGAGAAGCTTTAGCTTCTTCACATTTTCTGGACACATGTTTCCCTGTAACAAACCTCAAGAACTGGTGCTTAGCTCAAACTTCAGTGTGAGCCCAGCTTGAGGCCACCTGGGATTTACTAATTTGTAACTTCTATTTGCCTTGTGAAGTTCAGTGACAGAAGATTCAAAAAACTGATATTTACATGTGAATGTAATTTGGAGAAGCAAGGAAAGAGGATGAGTGCTATTGGTTTTAACCCCATATATTCTGGGTTTAATGTAGGGGAACTGATATCAGGGCTGGTATCAGAAGGACTTACAACTATACACGACTATGTACTGGGACTGTCGGGGTTGGGGGGAAGAAAAAAAAGGGAAGATTGGCAACGGATGTTAGCCCAGGGTGAAACTTTCCCAGCAAAAAAAAAAAAAAAGTCAAAAGAAATGGGAGGAACCCTATCTTTATGGATGTGCAGAAAGGACAGTCCCCACGGTGCATCCCTGACACTGAGATGAATGCCATCGAGCCCCAGTGTGCTCAGGCTTCAGGGCGGAAGTTCAGGGGGTGATTCTCTGGCAGTGGCTCCCAGTGGTCTCTCTCTCTCATCAGCCCGGGGGAGCAGTGAATACATGGGCATTCTCAGCAGCTCGTCTATCACCTTATCCGTAAGGATGACTACAGCCCTGCCCCCCGGAGTCACACTTTCAAGGTGCCCTCACACCCCACTGCCCAGCCATCCAGCTAAACTGTATGTGGTGTTTGTTTTATTTAAAGGTGTTCTCTTGCATGGCTGTTAAATCAGAAAGGAGTGAGGGACAGCAATGGCCTGGCTCACAGACCCTCAGGCAAGATAGAGCCACAACAAAGTCTTGAGGAGCCGTCAACTTTTTTCCAAGTCCTTATGCACAGGAATTCCAGAGTGGTCTGCTTTTGGGAAATCTGTCTGTGCAACATGGATGGAGCATAAAGGAAAAAGCATGGGAACATATTCAGAATACTCAGAGAGAGAGCAGGCAAGGGGTTTGCAAGACTTACTGAGATATCTTTGTAACACAAAATCTGACCAGTTTTTCAAAATGTGATACAGATAATTGCAAAGAAAATGCCTTCTCTTTTTGAGTGAACATTTGGAACCTGTCACACAGTGCACCCCACGTGCCATCACATCGTCAT